GAAAAATATAAGCTTTCCATAGAATAATGGATCTTCGTCAGTTTATAAGCCGTTTTATCAAACACTTTGTATAACCGTGGAAGTTGCTTGTATTAGAGCGGGCTTCAGTTGCAAGCTATTTCTGTTTTCTAAAGATAGTTTATCAATTTTCTCTGTGTATCCAATACGATTCCGGCCCCCTACCGTCATACCGAGAATTTGTAATTATTCATACAAAATTACTTTGATTTACACTTGACCAGCTTCTATACCTACAAGTTACCTGTATGTCTGTCTTATCAGCCATTGTTTCTATTAATAGATTTTATAACAATAACATACAACGTGTAGTCACGTGATTCGTACAAAGAAAAAAGGAGAAATAGTTTATAACTAAATAAAATAATAAAATAAACAGGTCTTTGAACGCCGCCTTCCTTGTTGATCTTGTTTATCATATTTTATTAGATATAAACAACCAGATAATTTAAAGTGCCATTGCAAATAGCATGCATGATTTATTTATCATAAAATAACAACTTTGAAATAAGTTAAAGCATCCCTAAATTCAATGACTTGTCCATCAATAGGGATACATAATTAATTCATTTGATAGAAATTGTAATGTTGCTTTTTAAGATGGCAATATTTGAATATTTCATTTCATTGAGCAACGTTATTGTATGTTTAAATTTTTGAGATTACTGAACACAATTGTAGTCTTTAATTGTTCAGTAATTGATATGCTTTTATTTTCAGATTATAAGGCCTTCTCCTACCATAGGTATAATATTAAACTATTGTTTCTACCGGCGACTAATGATACTTGCATTTAAGACTTGAATAGGAATAGACGTGACATGTTGACTATGTTAGATTTAAAGATAGATAAAGTCAACACCTTGACTATGTAAGCTACATGAGAGTTAAGACATGTTTGCTTTTATGTTTAGCAAAAATGTTTACCGTTTAAACAGCAAGTTAATAACGGTGTTAAATTATTTACCTGACTGAACTAAATAAATTCTTTGATTTTAGACATCAACTTTTTTCATTGATATAAAGACAACAAATTTGGTGTGTATTTTGTTGTATAAAACAAAGATTACAAAACATATTCTATTTTATTATGGAGTTACTGTTGTCCATGAAAAAATCAGAAAAAAATGGATTTAAAAACAAAATGTCATAGACATAAAGAAACAAAAGTAATGTTTAAAATAAATCTAAAATGTCAATGGTTTTCAACTAACCTCTGTAACCGATTATTAAAAACAAAATTCTAACCAGTTTTAGGCTAAAAACTGACCAAACCTGTTAAAATGGATAAATGTGACACAACTACTGACTATGTAGGATTTACTGACAGATAAAGTCAACACCATGACTATGTAAGATATTTGAGAGGTAAGAAATGTTGACTATGTAGGGTATTTGAGAGGTTGGACACGATGACTATGTAAGATATTTGAGAGGTAAGATATGTTGACTATGTAGGGTATTTGAGAGGTGGAACATGATGACTATGTAAGATATTTTGAGAGGTAAGATATGTTGACTATGTAAGATATTTGAGAGGTAAGACACGATGACTATGTAGGATATTTAAGAGGTAAGACATGATGACTTTGAAGGTATTTGAGAGGTAAGACACTATGATTATGTAAGCTATTTGAGAGGTAAGACAAGGTGACTATGTAAGATATTTGAGAGGTAAGATATGTTGACTATGTAAGATATTTGAGAGGTCAGATATGTTGACTATATAAGATATTTGAGAGGTAGGACACGATGACTATGTTAGATATTTGAGAGGTAAGACAAGGTGACTATGTAAGATATTTGAGAGGTAAGATATGTTGACTATGTAAGATATTTGAGAGGTCAGATATGTTGACTATATAAGATATTTGAGAAGTACGACATGTTGACTATGTTAGATATTTGAGAGGTAAGACACGATGACTATGTAAGATATTTGAGAGGTAAGACAAGATGACTATGTAAGATATTTGAGAGGTAAGATATGTTGACTATGTAAGATATTTGAGAGGTAGGACACGATGACTATGTAAGATATTTGAGAGGTAAAATATGTTGACTATGTAAGATATTTGAGAAGTACGACATGAAGACTATGTAGGATATTTGAGGGGTAAGTCATGAAGAATATGTAGGATATTTGCGAAGTAAGACATATTTACTATGTAAGAGACTTGAGATAGGCATGTTCAAGTACAGGTAAGACATGATGACTATGTGAAATACAATAGATAGGTTAGACATGTGGATTATGTTGAATTTGTGGAATGGTAAGATAATTAGCACCTCAAACTACAGTTCTATACAGAAATATTACTATATCTACTATTGTTATAAATTTGCGCACTGCATACTTACTAAGTGAATGAGCTTGTTTCTATAAACATTTATAAATGTACAATTTCATTATTACACAATACTTTATGTTAAAGGTATATCTTTTCTTGACAGATAAAGAAAACAAATTTTAGATAATCATAGTGTACTATGGGAGAAACAATAAGATTTCTGTCATTATCAACATGGTAAAAACATACAAACATTTGATATTATTCTACTTTAAACATTCAAACAACAACAATGAACAAAGAAATTATCTCTGAAGCATATCAAGTATTAGTGTACATTCATGTGTAGCTTCAACATTAGTTTAGTTTATACAAATTTATTTTAGTTCGATTGTGTTGGAAGCTATAAGCTTATTGAAACACTTTCGAATCTGTTCCTGGAACCAACCAGTACTAAGCAATGAATGTAAAGTTTCTTGCTCAGGGAAACTTCAACATTGACAACCTATTACTACATATAATTATGTCAGACTCAGCACGAAAGTTTATGCATTTTACTATGATGTTTTTAACCATCTGCAAGGTGTTTTATTTTTATGGTATTGTTTATCTTATATTTGTCACACATTGTGAATATTTGTTCAAGGTGACGTACAGATTCTTCGTACAGAATCAAACACTCTATCTCCGTCACAAAAATTTAGGTAACCTGATCCTTGGTCGCAAATGATAAACGCCGACTTGTCCCTGGGATATGGCAACGAAACGTAATCCTTGTCTGGTGCACATGGGTCCGCTGTAAGAATAGTTTAAACATACTGTCAATTATAATGCAATTATAACATAAACTTTCACCATTTGATAAATTATACAAAGAGTTGGATGATTAATTTTATATTACTAACCATTTTCACTAACCATTCTCACAATTTGGTGCTGTATAGTCAGGAAGAAATATACAGACATAGGATCCAAAATTATTAATACAGCTTCCACCATGCAAACATTGGTTCACAGCACACTCATTGATGTCTAACAAACATATTTCATATAACATCATTTAATATAATCTTGTATAGTATTAAACATAAAAATGGGCGTTAAGGAAAATTATACATATTTTTTGCACACTATACAGTGATCACGATCAACTCTTTTGTTATAAATGTGATATTTTCAATACCTATATTATAGTGAATGTCTACACAAAAATCATCATATATTTTATATTAAAATAAGAAATTATGTGACAATATTGAACTACAGCAGTTGAATTTGATATAGAAATGTAAATGTTTAGATGTGACAGTGTTATAAAGGACAAAGTGTTTTACCTGCTGTACATAATGGTGTTCCTATATAACCTGGTGGACATCTACATTTAATATCCTCCTATTTTGTTGATACACCCCCATGTAGCACCATTCTGCACATCGAGACAGACCCATATTACATTCATTCACATCTACAAATAGTTTCAGGGAAAATACAACTACTTTCAAAAAACTCCATATAAGAAATCAAATGAGAAATTACATACTCAATGTTTTTACAAACTAGAAATGTGTCCACAATACAGCTGGAAATTGGATAGAACAAGGGCAACCCTCAGAAACCTTAAATAAAAAACAAGCCTCACCATTTTCACACTGTAGTCCAGTCCATTGTTGAGGACAGTTACATAGATATGATCCCAGTGTGTTCATACATATACCTCCATTCTTACATATACCCTGCTCTGAACATTCATCCACATCTGAAATGATAAACATTTTTATTATATGATCTAAAAATAGCTGCAATCTCATAGGTCCAAACTGTAGCCAAAAGAACTTTTTATAAAATCATATTCACTGGGGTAGTATCATATTAACTGGCTAAATTGGATTTTCCAAGTCTAAAAATAGATTAAGACTCATATTCAATGACCATTCATCGTAGACTGTTAATTACGTGTGCTAATACAAAAATAAATGTTGCGTTTTGTTCTTTATGGCATATTTCTCGATTAAAATATCATTACTTTACTGTTATACTTAGAGGCTTAACCGCATCGATGAGTATAAACTTAAATTACTTTCGTATGCGCAGCGTTCCCGTAGTCGTTGCAAGCATAACACGTGCGTCTTTTTTCCCGCGCTTCAACGAGGCAAATTTTGTACACGTATATAAGGTTGTACTTGTTCGTGATTTTTTTTTTAATTCTGAGCCTATTCATATAATAAAACAATTATTGACTAGTGAGCCATTGAATATGATGTGTTATTCATCGGCAGAAAGTCATATTGACGTCGGCTATCGCCTCGGTCAATATGTCATCTGCCGGTGAATATCACATCATATTCAACGGCTCACTAGTCAATAATTGTATAATAATATATAGTTGATAATACGATAACTCCTGTTAATATAAACTTGTACAGTAAAACCCTTTTAAACCAAACAACTTCCTAACAAGTACTTCTGCAATAATAGTGCAATATTGTAAGCATTGTAAGCAAAACTCAATATTTGAGAATCCTAGTTGTGGTTAATATTTTTTCATAGGCATATACAGTCAAATCAATACGCCATTAAATGGTATACATGTGACCTTTGTTCACGTGTATTTTTGTATTTTCTGATTGCAGATCAGGAAATACAATGCTGACATTCAATCTTTGGCACTGAATTTCACGACAAACCTTACAACAAGAAGTTCTCAAAACAGCTTAAAACTAGCGATGTATAAAAAAGACATATTTTTATTTTGTTACAAGTATCAAACAAATTACAACGCATTCCAAGTTTAAAAGTAGGGTTGGCTTATAAAATTGTTTATAAATGAACAATTACAATGCGGATGAATATCAATTTAATCAATGAAAACGTTATATTTAGCGATGTCGATTACCGAATACTTCAGAGCGTAGTACACAAATAAATATAACTGTCAAGTAGTGGAATAAATACATGTCAGACCGTTTTGGCGACAAGACTTTCGCTTAATTATTTACATCAGTGTTGAAGAACAGGTTTATCGTGAACAAAATACCTCGGAAATAATAATGATTACAAACCCGAATTGGAAATTCTAAATTAAGAATTGTTTGATTTTATTCAGGCTTTCTTCGTGTAACTACCCCGTGGTGTAGGGATAACGAGCTCCTTTAGGGTGTGAGACGTTTGGGGTTCAAATCCCAGTTGAGGCAACTATTTCTTTTTTAAAGGAAGCTAGAAGCCACGTTATGCAAGGATAATGTGTGTCTGTCTTAAATAAATGAACGTAATTGAATTTTTGATGCAACTCTAGTCATGCAAAATTCCGTATGTATCAAACTCAAACTGTTATAGTAAACACTCTTAGCGCACTCTTAACAAAAGGCACCATCAAGACATGGATTTGTCAAACATTCATTCACATCTGAAAAAAAATTAAAAAATTTTTCATGCCCAATTACATGTAGATAAATTTATAAAAAAAGGGTTCCCCAAAAACCCCTTCCAGAGGCCCCCAGGGTTCCCCGGTAGAAGGCACACGGCGGGGTCAAGTAAAAGTCATTTTTTAAAATTTACCAGGGTTGTTTGGGTTTGGAACCTCTTTTGATTTTAAACTCTGGGGGTTTTGGCGCAAAATGAAAACCCCGATTTTTATCTTTCAGAAATGGAACTTTGATGCCTGGCCAGTATTGTCTTTACCCCCTTTCTACCCCAACGAACAAAAGAAGGGGGAAATATCAAAAAGACTCAGTTTTAAAAAAAGGACGCCCCCGATGGGGACTCCCTTTTTAGTGGGCCCGGGCACGGTTTGCTAATTTTCGGACAGAGGGTAAAACCCCGGGGGCCCGGCCCGAGTAAAAGGAAAAACTTAAACTGACAAGTATAACCACAAATATAGATGTTTTCTTTGGAAATTTTTAAAATAAAAAAATAAAATTATTTTATAACATTTAAGGAAAATAGACTTTTTAAAAAATTTTTTAATTTTTTGTTCTAATACCAAATATTACATTGCTTACAACTTTTTTTTTATTATTGGGTTTAATTTCTATATAAATTTTATTTTTGGATTTTTTTTTATTATTAATTTATTTTTTTCTTATTCAAGAAATTTATCATTGGGTTTGGGAAAAAAAATAAATTTTTAAAATTTACAGCGTTATTAACCCACTTTTTAAATTTTACACACTTTTGGGCGAAAGCCTTCAACATTCAGAATTCGTTGACGCATAAGAACTCCAAAAGTGGTGTTTAAAAACCGAATTTGTTGATAACCCAAATATTAATATATTCTTAAACAATTTTCCAAGAAAATATATATAATGTTAATAAAAAATTTCAATACAAAATTCTTTCCACAGTGTCTCCACGGGAAAAAACCTTGTGGAACACTCGAAACGGAATGCGGCCCTATCTCATTTATACTTTCCCTTTTCATTCTAAGAAATGTGGACTTGAGAGACACTCATCTACTGTCTAAAATTACAGAAATCTATTTAATTATTGTCTTTAATCTGCTTTGTTTTGTTTTTGGGTTTTTACGGTTCCAAATCGACAACAGTTATAGGTCATATCGCCGGACGTTCCCAGCCCTTTACTGGTGGAGGAAGACCTCAGGTTTGCCCTTCCGTGGCATTATTTCGGGCCCAACGAACGGGCACCTGAGTAGAACCCCCGGGACTTCCCCTTTAAGCTAGCGGGAAAATAACTTCCTAAACATAAAAGGGAACCCAAAATCCCTGTCGCGACTGTTCCCCCACAGGGGGTGGGGGGCAATTTGGTTTGAAGTCAACGACCTTAAACCCACTGGGGCCAGGGACCCCCCTTTGGGTTCCTATTGAAAAACTTTTTGGTTTTTTAAAATTTAAGGGCCCAAAAATATGACATTGTTTTACAAGTTTTATTAAAAATTTTTTTTGGATACTTAAAAATTTCAATAAAAAAATTTCAGGGGTTTTGGGGATTCATCAAATTTTTTAACAGACATTAAAAATTTAAAAATTTTTATTATATTTAGTATTAAGAAAAAAACCCATTTTTAAAACGGGGAGATTTTTTGATTATAATATTGGTTTGGGGTTTTGTTTAAAAAAATTTAGGAAAAGAGGAACATTATTGACCTATTTCACAGTTTTTCCCTGTATATCCCACAAAACAACGACATGTGTATGAGCCAGGCTTGTTAATACATAAACCATTTAAACATGGATTCTGACGACATACATTTATATCTGTAAATAGATAATAAATATGTATAACAATAAAATCAGGATAATCTCTTTCTAAATAACCTACTCTAGCTACAGCTACAGCATTGTAGTCTACAAAAGAAAATTTAGGTTACCTTCTAAAAGTAATTATTACTATGACACTTAGAATCAAACAGGGACTACATCAGTTTAGATTAATTATAAATTGTATCTTTCATTTTTCCACTTAAAATTTTATATGCACATACTTCTTATTTGTCTGCCATTTAAACAAGTCATAAGCGAAGTTTCAGTAATAAACACATTTGAATTTATTTCATTAAAACCCATAGCCAGTTCATCAAAAATATAATACATAGTTTTTACACTTTCTATGGAGTACCTGAAGGGACATTCTAGTTGCAAATCACAATAATCCAATAGCTAAATGATGATGGTGTTTTTTTTAATGTTTGCCAACTGCTTATTTTAAATGTCATATTTTTTCTGTGAAAACTTTTTCTATAAGCTTGCATATCCCTTCACCCCTTCATAGATTCATACTTATTTTTTGTGAACACTACATGAATTTCTGCATAACTCATTATAATTTATTCACCATCATTCACATATATATTTGTCTGAGCAAAGTGTTGAATTCATTGAGCTCACAGTCAAAAACAGAAGAAGAAAAACCTTTCACAAGTGACATCCATTGGGTGTACACTGCATGAATGAACTAATTATTGTACAGGTTATATTAACAGGTCTAAGACATTCATTTTTTGTAAAATAATATATGTATACCTAAAATCAGAGATTTTCTAAAACCTACTCAAGCTACACTAATTATGATTTGTGGAAAATATAGATATTGCATGCAGATTTTAAGATTTAACTTTTTATGAAATATAGATTGTTATAAATCTTAAAAATATTTCCTTCTCAGTATAGTTTTATAATCAAGATCTACAGTTATGAAATCAACGTCTTATAATGATTCTAACAGTCATTATAAGTTAAATTCTACAAAAGAAGAAATTTAATAAAATATTATTTGCATTTTTTCTGTATAAATCTTGATGCATTGAAAATTAATTACACTAGTTAAGTTTTTAGGAATTTCATCTTCGCGCTATACACAGTGGATTTTTAGTATTTTAACATTCCGCATATAACACATTACAGTGAAGTTTTAAAGTGGACATTTATGCATGTGATATTAGACTTCAGTATAGTTTTAGGAAGGCATTTAATGCAATGATATATTGAAATATCTTCAGTGCAGTTTTAGGAGACATTTATTCATGTGACATCTACCTTAAGTTAAGTTTTAGGACACATTTTTACATGCGACATATGCCTTCAGTGCAGTTTTAAGTAACATTTATGCATGGGGTATATACCTTCAGTGCAGTTTCAGGAGAAATTTATGCATGAAAGATATACCTTCAGTGTATCTGCATGTGATATGTACCTTCAGTGCAGTTGTAGATGGCATTTATGCATGTGATATATACCTTCAGAGACATTTACGCATTTACATTATATCGTCTTGTATTTGGAAAATTTTTAGTGAGACCCATGCTTTAATACGCTGGATTAAATCTACCTTAACAAATCTTTTATTCCTTTCTGAAACTTAACAGAAAATAAGGTACAATCTATAATCAAGATTGTGATTAGGATTATTATTATTATTCATTTTTTTTCTTAATTCAAAATGTTAAATCTTTCTTTGTTAGAAATTTATTATTTTTTATTTTATTAGTTTACATTGTTGAATAAGGCACTTAGTTTTAATTTACAGCACTTCATGTCGAAAGCCTTCAACTTAGATTCTACGCATAAGAACTCCAAAGTGGTGTTTAAAAAAACAATGTTGATAACCAATATTAATATATCTTGCAATTTCAAGAAAATATATATAATGTAATAAAAAATTCAATACCTATTTCACAAGTGTCTCCAAGGAAACCTGGTTGACACTCACAACGGAATGCGCCTATCTCATTTATGCATGTGCCTTCATTTAAGCATGTGACTGAAGAGACACTCATCTATGTCTAAAAACAGAATATATAATTATTGTCTATCTGCCAACATTTGTTCATAAGATAATGGCCAAAATATGACATTGCTTACAACTGTTTTATTATAAATTTTGATACTTATAATCTTAAAATAACAATCAGTGGTTAGGATTCATCAAATGTTTAACAACTGATTATTTAGATATTTTAGTATATTTCAGTAAAAGATAAAAACAGTTTCAAGGTGGAGACTTTGTTTATAATATAAGTTTGTGCGTTTTTAAAATATATTTATGAAAAGAGGAAATTATTGACCTGTTTACAGTTTTTCCCTGTAATTTCCCATCAGAGAACAATCGACATGTGTTAATGAGGCCACATTTTTAAATACATGAAAGCCCATTTAAACATGATTGTGAGAAATTGACATTTAATCTGTTAAATAATAATATATATGATATAACATAAAATAGGATACATCTCTTTCTAATAACCTTACAGCTACAGCTACAGCATTGTAGTCTACAAAAGAAATTAGGTTACCTTCTAAAAAAGTAACTTATTACTATGATCTTATTAATACACAGGATACATCAGTTTAATTATAACATATCTTCTTTTTCCACTAATTTTAGTGCACATTCTATTGTCTGCCATTAAGTCATAAGCCATGTTTCAGAATAACAATTTGACTTTATGTATTATTATAACCCATAGGCAGTTCATCAAAAATATAATACATAGTTTCTTACACTTTCTATAGAGTACCTGAAGGGACATTCTAGTTGCTAATCATAATTATCCAATATATAAATGTCAAGGGTGTTTTTTTAATGTTTGCAAATTGCTTATTTTAAATGTCATATTTTCAGTGCAAATTTTTACTATAAGCTTGCATATCCCTTCACCCATTCATGGATTCTTACCTATTTTTTTGTGAACACTTCATAAGATTCTGCATAACTCATTATAATTTATTCACCATCATTCACATATATATTTGTCTGAGCAAAGTGTTGAATTCATTGAGCTCACAGTCAAAAACAGTAAGAAGAAAGTATACCTATTTCACAACGTGGACCAATCCATTGGGGTGTACAATGACATGTATATGAACCTAATGTATTGGTACAGGTTCCATAATTTAAACATGGATACTGAAGACATTCATTTATATCTGTAAATAGATAATATATGTATTACCATAAAATCAGAATGATCTATTTCTGAAAAACCTACTCAAGCTACAGCTACAGTTAATGATTCTGTTGGCAAAATGATATGATATTGGCATGCAGATATGTTATAAGATTTAGACTTTTATATGCATATAGCATGTTATAAATCTTGTATATGTTCAGTGCAGTTTCAGGAAAAAATTATGAATGTGACATCTACCTTAAGTTAAGTTTAAGGAGACATTTTTGCATGTGAATATTGCCTTCAGTGTAGTTTTAGGAGACAATTATGCATGTGACATCTACCTTAAGCTAAGTTTTAGGTGATATTTATTAATGTGATATATATCTTCAGTGCATATTTATGAGATATTTATGCATGTGATATATACCTTCACCATAGTTTTAGTTAACATTTATGCATGGGATATATACCTTCAGTGGAGTTTTAGGAGAAATTATGCATGCAACATCTACCTTCAGTTAAGTTTTAGGAGACATTTATGCATGTGATATATGCCTTCGGTGCAGTTTTTTATAACATTTATGCATGGAATTGTTTACCTTCAGTGCAGTTTTAGGAGACAATCATACATGTATTATATACCTTCAGTGTAGCTACATGCGATATATAGCTTCAGTGTAGTTTAAGGAGACATTTATGCATGTGATATATGCCTTCAGTGCAGTTTTAAGTAACATTTATGCATGGGATAAATACCTTCAGTGCAGTTTTAAGAGACATTTATGCATGTGATATATACCTTCAGTATAGTTTTAGTCAACATTTATGCATGGGATATATACTTTTAGTGCAGTTTTAGTATGCATTTATGCATGTGACATATATTTTAAGTTAAGTTATAGGAGACATTTATGCATGTGATATATAGGCCTTCAGTGCAGTTTTAAGTAACATTTATGCATGGGATTTATACATTCAGCGCAGGCTTAGGAGACATTTATGCATGTGACATCTACCTAAATTTAAGTTTTAGGAGACATTTATGCATGTAATATATGCTTTCAGTGCAGTTTTAGGAGTATTTTATGCATGTGATATCTACCTTGAGTAAAGTTTCAGGAGACATGTATGTATGTGATATCTACCTAAATTTAAAATATAGGAGAAATTTATGCATGTGATATATGCCTTAAGTGCAGTTTTAGGTGAATTTTATGCATGTGACATCAACCTTACAAAAAAGTTGTAGGAGACATTTATGCATGTAATATCATCCTTGAGTAAAGTTTCAGGAGACATGTATGCATGTGATATCTACCTTCAAATCATTTTATTCCTTTCTAACTTAACAAAACATAGCTCAATCTATAATCAAGTGTGATTAGATTATTATTATTATTCATTTACTTTTTCTTATTCAAGATGTTATCATCTTTGTTAGAAATAAATGAAATTAGTTACAGCAGTGATCAAGCACTATTTAATTTACAGCATTCATGTCGAAATCCTTCAACTTAGATTCTGACGCATAAGAACTCCAAAATGGTGTTAAAAAAACAAATGTTGATAACCATTATTATATATCTTACAATTTCAATAAATTATATATAATGTAATAAAAATTAAATACCTATTCCACAGGTGTCTCCATGGAAACCTGGTTGACACTCACAACGGAATGCACCTATCTCATTTATACATGTACCTTCATTTAAGCATGTGACTGAGAGACACTCATCTATGTCTAAAAACAGAATATATAATTATTGTCTATCTTAGAAACAAACAGAGACTACATCAGTTTAGATTAATTATAAATAGTATCTTTTATTTTTCCACTTAAAATTTTATATGCACATACTTCTTATTTGTCTGCCATTTAAACAAGTCATAAGCCATGTTTCAGTAATCAACAAATTTGACTTTATTTATCATTATAACCCATAGGCAGTTCATCAAAAATATAATACATAGTTTCTTACACTTTCTATGGAGTACCTGAAGGGACATTCTAGTTGCTAATCACAATTATCCAATAGCTTAATGTATATTGTGTTTTTTTAATGTTTGCCAATTGCTTATTTTAAATGTCATATTTTCAGTGCAAACTTTTTCTATAAGCTTGCATATCCCTTCACCCCTTCATAGATTCATACTTATTTTTTGTGAACACTACATGAATTTCTGCATAACTCATTATAATTTATTCACCATCATTCAAATATATATTTGTCTGAGCAAAGTGTTGAATTCATTGAGCTCACAGTCAAAAACAGTAAGAAAAAATATACCTATTTCACAACGTGGACCAATCCATTGGGGTGTACATTGACATGAATATGAACCTAATGCATTGGTACAGGTTCCATCATTTAAACATGGATACTGAAGACATTCATTTATATCTGTAAATAGATAATATATGTATTACCATAAAATCAGAATGATCTATTTCTGAAAAACCTACTCAAGCTACAGCTACAGTTAATGATTCTGTTGGCAAAATGATATGATATTGGCATGCAGATATGTTATAAGATTTAGACTTTTATATGCATATAGCATGTTATAAATCTTATAAAAATCATTTCCTCTCTCAGATATAATTTTATAATCATAGATCTAAAGTTAAGTGGAAAATCAACCTGTCACATAATGATTTCTAACAAGTCAATTATATATGTATAAAAATTCTACGAACAGAAGCAAAATTTAGATAGTAAATGATGTAAATTTTATGCTATTTATTTCTGTATTTAAGATGCATTGGCATGCAAATATCTTGTATAAGATTTAGATTTTTACATGCCTATAGCAAATGATGAAGTAATTATTGAAGGAAATTTAACAGTATCATTCAGCAAGCAGATTTACCTACAACCAGTGCTAGAGGTTGGACTATACGTTCCTTCAGTATAGTTTTAGGAGACATGCTCGCAATTTATACATTCAGTATAGTTTTAGGTTACATTCATGCATTGGATATATACATTCAGTATAGTTTTAGGAGGCATTTATGCATGTGATATATTTATCTTCAGTGCAGTTTTAGGAGAATTTTATACATGTGACATCTACTTTACAAAAAATTGTAGGAGACATTTATGCATGTGATATCTTCCTTGAGTAAAGTTTTAGGAGACATGTATGCATGTAATATCTACCTTCAAATCATTTTATTCCTTTCTAACTTAACAAAACATAGCTCAATCTATAATCAAGTGTGATTAGATTATTATTATTATTCATTTACTTTTTCTTATTCAAGATGTTATCATCTTTGTTAGAAATAAATGTTATTAGTTACATTAGTGATCAAGCACTATTTAATTTACAGCACTCATGTCGAAAGCCTTCAACTTAGATTCTGACGCATAAGAACTCCAAAGTGGTGTTTAAAAAACCAATGTTGATAACCAATATTAATATATCTTGCAATTTCAAGAAAATATATATAATGTAATAAAAAATTCAATACCTATTTCACAAGTGTCTCCAAGGAAACCTGGTTGACACTCACAACGGAATGCGCCTATCTCATTTATGCATGTGCCTTCATTTAAGCATGTGACTGAGAGACACTCATCTATGTCTAAAAACAGAATATATAATTATTGTCTATCTGCCAACATTTGTTCATAAGATAATGGCCAAATATGACATTGCTTACAACTGTTTTATTATAAATTTTTGATACTTATAATCTTAAAATAACAATCAGTGGTTAGGATTCATCAAATGTTTAACAACTGATAAATAATTAGAGTAATTTTAGTGATATTTCAGTATAAAGATAAAAACAGTTTCAAGCGTGGAGATCTTTGATATAATATAAGTTTGTGGTTGTTTAAAATAATTTAGAAAGAGGAACATTATTGACCTGTTTCACAGTTTTTCCCTGTATATCCCACAGGACAACGACATGTGTATGAGCCAGCATTGTAAATACATGAAGCACCATTTAAACATGGATTCTGAAGACATTCATTTACAGCTGTAAATATAATATATATGTATAACCATAAAATCAGGATGATCTCTTTCTAAATAACCTACTCAAGCTACAGCTACAGCATTGTAGTCTACAAAAGAAAAATTTAGGTTACCTTCTAAAAGTAATTATTACTAGTATCTTTTATTTTTCCACTAAAACATTTTTATATGCACATACTTCTTATTTTAGTGCCATTTAGTCAAGTCATAACCCATGTTTCAGGAATAAACAAATTTGAGTGGCGGCATGGCCGAGTGGTTAACGCTTCGAACTAGTAATCTAATGATCGCTAGCCGCATGGGTTCAAACCCTGACAGGGGAAAAATAGAGAAAGTAAAAATCCCTAAAGAAAGTCCAACACAACACAATTAAAAATATTGCAGGCTCGGTTTGATTGAGCCTGTTCATGGACGGTACTGGAAAGTGCAAGTTACCGTCCACTCCCCCTAGCACCGGCTTAAACAGAATTCAACATTTAAAATGAACTGGTACAATTTTGAATTTTGAAACATCCGCAGATGTGTTCATATAAGTCGTTGTTTCCTTGAGCAAGAAACTTTACACTCATTGCTCAGTACTGGTTGGTTCCAGGAACGGATTCGAAAGTGCGTTTAAACTATAATCTTATAGCTTCCTGCACAATCGAACTAAAATAAATTCTGTATAAACAAAACAAATTTGACTTTATTTATCATTAAAACCCATAGATAGGCAGTTCATCAAAAATATAATACATATTTTCTTACGCTTTCTATGGAGTACCTGAAGGGACATTCTAGTTGCGAATCATAATAATCTGGCATATATTAACGTAACTTATTGACCGAAATTTTGAACCCTATGTGTGAGCTTGTCCTTGGCCGCAGGGACCTTAATTTTACAAGCTAACACAACCTCACAATGGTGAACATTTGTGCCAAGTTATATTTAAATCTTCCAAGGGTTTGTTCCAGACAAGCGTTTTTCAATGAATCTCTACGTGTGATCTTGACTTTTGACCAAGATTTATAGTTCATGCACATGACAGTGCTTGTCATAGCGTTGAACATCTCTATCTTTTATCATCTTTAGTGACCTTCACTTTGCTATTATAAACCTAAAATACATGTTTCACATGTATTCATGAAAATGACTTTTTGTTTTTAATCCCTCTATAAAATGATAACAAAATAATCCGAATACACATCTTATTTGAACTTTGACCCCTGTATGTCCTTGACTTTTGGCTGCAGTGACATAAATTTTGCATGTGACACTCCACCTCACAATGTTGAACATTTGTGCCAAGTTATATATTGAAATCCCTCAATGCAGCGTTTTTTCAATGACCCCTAAGTGAGACCTTGGCTTTGACTTAGAAACATGGTTCAACACATGACACTGCTTCTCATAGTGGTGAAAGTTTCTATAAAGTTTCATTTAAATCCTCGTATGTGTAAAAGTTATGCTGTGGACAAAAATCGTTATCTTTTATCACCTTATAGTGACCTTGACCTTGCATTTATTAACATGAATTAAATGGGTTCATACCCCTAGATCATGATAATGTCCATTTTTGTATCAATCCCTCGATAAATGATGACTAAATGGTCCAAATAAACATTTTCATAACTTTATCTATCTTTGACCCCTATATATGACCTTGACCTGGCCGCAGGGACCTTAATTTTGCACACGACATTCCACCACATTGGAGAACATTTGTGCCTAGTTTTATTAAAATCCCAATATGGTTTTAGAAGTTTTGATGTGGTCAAGCGATTTTTTTGAATGACCTCTAAGTTTGATCTAGAGAACTGATTCATGTGCGCAACATAGCTTCTCATACTGGTCAACATTTCTATGAAGTTTCCTCAATGCGTGTGGGAGATATGCTTAGGACAAAAAGTGGATGTGGCCCATATAAGATAAATAATTAGAGTAATTTTAGTGATATTTCAGTATAAAGATAAAAACAGTTTCAAGCGTGGAGATCTTTGATATAATATAAGTTTGTGGTTGTTTATAATAATTTAGAAAGAGGAACATTATTGACCTGTTTCACAGTTTTTCCCTGTATATCCCACAGGACAATGACATGTGTATGAGCCAGCATCGGTAATACATAAAGCACCATTTAAACATGGATCCTGAAGACATTCATTTATATCTGTAAATAGATAATATATAATTAACCATAAAATCAGGATGATCTCTTTCTAAATAACCTACTCAAGCTACAGCTACAGCATTGTAGCCTACACAAGAAAATATAGGTTACCTTCTAAAAGTAATTATTACTATGACACATAGAAACAAACAGGGACAACATCAGTTTAGATTAATTATAAATAGTATCTTTTATTTTTCCACTAAAAATTTTATATGCACATACTTCTTATTTTAGTTTTTAGTCAAGTCAATAACCATTTTCAGGAATTAAAAAATTTTGCAGTGGGCGGCATGGCCGATGGTTAACGCTTCGAAAACTATAATCTGTAATGATTCGCTAGCCGCATGGGGTTCAAACCCTGACAGGGAAAAAAAGAAAAAGTAAAAAATCCCTAAAGAAAGTCCAACACAAACAATAAAAAATATTGCAGGCTCGGTTTGATTGAGCTGTTCATGGACGGTAACTGGAAAAGTGCAAGTTACTCCACCCCCTAAGCACCGGCTTAAACTAGAATTCAAACCATTTTAAAATTGAACTGGACACAATTTTGAAATTTTGAAACATCCGCAGATTTTCATAATAAGTGTTGTTTCCTTGGAGCAAGAAACTTTAAACACTCATTTGCTCAGTACTGGTTTGTTCCAGGAACGGATTCGAAAGTGCGTTTAAACTATAATCTTATAGCTTCCTGCACAATCGAACTAAAATAAATTCTGTATAAACAAAACAAATTCGACTTTATTTATCATTAAAACCCATAGATAGGCAGTTCATCAAAAATATAATACATATTTTCTTACGCTTTCTATGGAGTACCTGAAGGGACATTCTAGTTGCGAATCATAATAATCTGGCATATATTAACGTAACTTATTGACCGAAATTTTGAACCCTATGTGTGAGCTTGTCCTTGGCCGCAGGGACCTTAATTTTACAAGCTACACAACCTCACAATGGTGAACATTTGTGCCAAGTTATATTTAAATCTTCCAAGGGTTTGTTCCAGACAAGCGTTTTTCAATGATCTCTACGTGTGATCTTGACTTTTGACCAAGATTTATAGTTCATGCACATGACAGTGCTTGTCATAGCGTTGAACATCTCTATCTTTTATCATCTTTAGTGACCTTCACTTTGCATATATAAACCTAAAATACATGTTTCACATGTATAGTCATGAAAATGACTTTTTGTTTTTAATCCCTCTATAAATGATAACAAAATAATCCGAATACACATCTTATTTGAACTTTGACCCCTGTATGTCCTTGACTTTGGCTGCAGTGACATAAATTTTGCATGTGACACTCCACCTCACAATGTTGAACATTTGTGCCAAGTTATATTGAAATCCCTCAATGCATGCGTTTTTCAATGACCCCTAAGTGAGACCTTGGCCTTTGACTTAGAAACATGGTTCAACACATGACACTGCTTCTCATAGTGGTGAAAGTTTCTATAAAGTTTCATTAGAATCCCTCCGTATGTGTAAAAGTTATGCTGTGGACAAAATCGTTATCTTTTATCACCTTTAGTGACCTTGACCTTGCATTTATTAACATGAATTAAATGGTTCATACCCCTAGTCATGATAATGTCCATTTTTGTATCAATCCCTCGATAAATGATGACTAAATGGTCCAAATAAACATTTTCATAACTTTATCTATCTTTGACCCCTATATATGACCTTGACCTTGGCCGCAGGGACCTTAATTTTGCACACGACATTCCACTCACATTGGAGAACATTTGTGCCTAGTTATATTAAAATCCCAATATGGGATTTAGAAGTTTTGATGTGGTCAAGCGATTTTTTTGAATGACCTCTAAGTTTGATCTAGAGAACTGATTCATGTGCGCAACATAGCTTCTCATACTGGTCAACATTTCTATGAAGTTTCCTCAATGCGTGTGGGAGATATGCTTAGGACAAAAAGTGGATGTGGCCCATATAAGATAAATAATTAGAGTAATTTTAGTGATAAAATTTCAGTATAAAGATAAAACCACGTTTCAAGCGTGGAGATCTTTGAAATATAATATAAGTTTGTGGTTGTTTATTAAAAATTTAGAAAGAGGAACATTATTGACTGTTTCACAGTTTTTCCCTGTATATCCCACAGGACAATGACATGTGTATGAAGCAGCATCGGTAAATACATAAAGCACCATTTAAACATGGATCCTGAAGACATTCATTTATATCTGTAAATAGATAATATATAATTAACCATAAAATCAGGATGATCTCTTTCTAAATAACCTACTCTCAAGCTACAGCTACAGCATTGTAGCCTACACAAGAAAATATAAGGTTACCTTCTAAAGTAATTATTACTATGACACATAGAAACAAACAGGGACAACATCAGTTTAGATTAATTATAATAGTATCTTTTATTTTTCCACTAAAAATTTTATATCACATACTTCTTATTTTAGTGCCATTTAGTCAAGTCATAACCCATGTTTCAGAATAAACAAATCTTGAGTGGCGGCATGGCCGAGTGTAACGCTTCGAACTAGTAATCTTAATGATCGCCTAGCCGCCATGGGTTTCAAACCCTCTGACAGAGGGAAAATAGAAGAAAGTAAAAAATCCCCTTAATTAAAGTCCCACACAACACAATTAAAATATTGCAGGGCTCCGTTTGATTTGAGCCTGTTCCATGGACCCGGTACTGGAAAGTTGCAAGTTACCGTCCACTCCCCCGGTAGCACCGGTTAAACAAGAATTCAACATTTAAAATGAACTGCGTACACGATTTTTGAAATTTAAACATCCCCGCAGAATGTTGTTCATATAAAGTCGTTGTTTCCCTTGCAGCAGACTTCCTCCAATTGCTCGAACTGGTTCTGGTTTTTCCAGGAACGATTCGCAAGTGCGTTTAAACTATATATGCACATACTTCTTATTTCTCAGCTGCCATTTAGTCAAGTCCATAACCCATGTTTCAGGAATAACCATACAATTTGAGGTTGGCGGCAATGGCCGAGTGGTGTACCGCTCCTCCGAACTAGTTAATCTACATGATCCTAGCCGCATGGGGTTCAAACCCTGACATGGGAAAAATAGAGAAGTAAAATCCCCTAAAGAAAGTTCCAACCACAACACAATAAAATGTTGCAGGTCGGCCTTTGATCTTGAGCCCGCTCATGGACGTACTGGAAAGTGCAAGTTACCCGATCCACTCCCCCCTAGCACCGGCTTAAACAGAATTCAAATTTAAATAGAACTGGCGTACAATTGAAATTTTGAACACATCCGCCAGATGTGTTCATTATAAGTCTTGTTTCCTTGAGCAAACTTTACACTCCATTGCTCAGTACTGGTGGTTCAGGAACGGATTCGAAAGTGCGTTTAAAACTTATAACCTTATTAGCTCCCTGCACAACTCCGAACTTAAAATTAAATTCTAATGCTTATAAACAAAACACAATTCGACTTATTTATCATTAAAACCCATATGATAGGCAGTCTCATCGAAAAATATAATACATCATCTTTCTTACGCTTTCTATGGAGTACCTGAAAGGGACATTCTAGTTGCCGAATCCATAATAATCTGGCATATATTAAACGTACTTATTGACCGAAATTTTTGAACCCTATGTGTGAGCTTGTCCTTGGCCCGCAGGGCGACCTTAATTTTAACAAGCTACACAAACCTCCACCAATGGTGAACATTTGTGCCAAGTTATATTTAAATCTTCCAAGGGTTTGTTCCAGACAAGCTTTTTTCCAATGATCTCTAGTGTATCTTGATTTCTTGACACAAGATTTATAGTTCATGCACATGACAGTGGCTTGTCATAGCCGTTGATACATCTCTAATCCTTTTTCATCCCTTTAGTGACCTCTCCCACTTCTGCATCAATATAAACCTAAAATTACATGTTTCACTGTAATAGTCATGACAAAATGATTTTTGTTTTTAATCCCTCTATAAAACACAATGATAACCAAAATATAATCCGAATACACATCTTATTTGACACTTCTGACCCCTGTATGTCCTTGACTTTGGGCTGCAGTGACATTAAATTTTGGCATGTGACACTCCACCTCACAATGTTGAACCATTTGTGCGCCAAGTTTATATTAAATCCATCCAATGCCATGCGTTTTTCAATGACCCTAAGTGAGACTTGGCCTTTCGACTTAAGAACATTGGTTCAACACATTGACACTGCTTCTTCATGTGGTGAAAGTTTTCTATAAAGTTTCATTGAATCCCTCCGTATGTGTAAAGTTAGCTGGGACAAAATCGTTATCTTTTATCCCTTTAGTGACCTTGACCTTGCATTTATTTAACATGAATTAAATGGTTCATTACCCCTCAGTCATGCATAATGTCCATTTTTGTTATCAATCCTCGATAAATGATGATAAATGGTCCAAGTAACATTTCATAACCTTTTAAATTCTATCTTTGAAGCCCCTATATATACCTTGGACCCTTGCCGCCTCAGGGACCTTAATTTGCACACGACATTCCATCACAATGGAGACATTTGTGCCCTATTATATTAATCCCCAAATATGGACATTAGAAGTTTTGATGTGGTCAAGCGATTTTTTTGAGAATACCTCTAAGTTTGATCTAGAGAACTGATTCATGTGCGCAACATAGCTTCTCATACTGGTCAACATTTCTATGAAGTTTCCTCAATGCGTGTGGGAGATATGCTTAGGACAAAAAGTGGATGTGGCCCAGGCCCAGCCACCAGCCTGTCCGCCAGAGGGGGGGGACTATAGGGGCCTAATACAATCCGTTTTGCAAACAGGCGTATAAAAATGCCAATTTTTACTAAGTTAATCAACAACTATTTGTGTATATAGATAGATACTTTTTGATTGTCCAACAACATGGCATCTGTATGTTGCAGCATCAGTGTCTTGAATATCAGGAAACTGGAGTACCTGTCCATCCTGCAGTACTTCTGATTCTGATGGCACAGGCTGCAAATTTCCATTGACTTCCTTGTACCATGCGATTTTTTCATAACCTTCAGCACAGCATGGTATATCAACACCATGATTAATTATAACATAGTATTTGCTACCAAGTTCTACAGTAAACCTCAGTTCCGCTGAAATTTAATAAAACCTTTGTTAACTTGTGCTTTTCTTCAAAGCATTTTCAAAGTATAACAAAACATGTTTGTTAAACACAAATGCCCCTGGCACAGATTCTTGTCAGAAATAATTATTCAAAAAAGGTTTCCCCATTCACTCTTTTATAGATAGAAAAATTGCCCAAAAAATTGTAAACTCAATCAGTAATTTAACTAGATGTACAACTTGCGTAAAATATGCATACAAAATGAAAAAGATGCACTGTGAGTTTCAAAATATGTGCATCCCAAACATTCAAATCTGGTAGTTTATAATCCAAAATATCACAGTTAGTGACTTCTATGTACTGTTTGATTAGTTTAATTTCGTTAGTTGAATAATGTTACAATTTCTTCAGTTGAATAATTAAATTTCTGACAATAAAAGATTCAAGACTCTTTCCCGTTTGCCGAAAACATTAAATCGCATGTGTTTGGTAGCCGCCCATGATTTCTCAGCATTAGCAAAACAGAAAATCCCTTTTGCACGAGAGTGAATCGATGGAACGCCTTAAATGGTGAAATATCAAACGAAAATGTTTTTCACACAAAACATATCTATCCATTCTAAATATGTGAACATTAACAGCTGTTTCATATCTCAAGTGGACAATGTAAAACAAAACAAGATTTGTTGCATGGCAAACGACCTAATTATATTTGGCTGATAGTCGAAATCCCTCTTTGATGTGATCAAAGGTCTGTTGAGTTTTTGAACTTTGTCAAAATAACCTTATTAAATGTAAACATCTTGATGTGGTTTTATTTTAGATAGCCTAAGTACCTGCACGTTTTTTAATCTGGAATGATAAAAATAGCAAAGGTTGTCGGACGCATTGTAAGGGATTTATAAATTAAAATTGTTCAGTTTATGGGAAAACATAAGCTAAATACAATTTTTTAAATGCTGATGTTGCGCATCAAAGTCGCAGCCAAATGATGTGAACAGTCACAGGTAATGTACAAAATCAGAATTGAAAATCGTTCTCTATTTCAGTTGAATATCCGAAACACTTATTTTTTTTCTACATGTTCTTGGTATGTGTCTGAAATTCTGAAATGTTTGTCTGTTGCGACAAAGATTGAAACGTCTGGTCGAAGCAAAATAATTTAGATAACAAGTGAACTAAAATAAATTCAAGACACTGTGCCGAGAATATGTCCATTTAAATATTAGTGCGGATTACATAATGTTCCAATAATTTTGAGGACGAACTTTCTGTTATTTTACAAAACCCGAAAATATGTCTGTAATATCAAATAATAGTTATGAAAAAATGATCTATAAAAGATTTAACTACTTGAGTAAACAAAAGATTGCATATTCGCCTAGGGATTTAACTCAATACAGGATTGGAGCAGTACCTCTACAGTCTAGACGCTTGCAGAAAACATTATCACACAATAGACAAATATCGGTTTTTTTTCGCCTATCTTTGCATTTTTCATTCATTTTCATGCATAAATAGGTGTAAAAAGATGAATTACACCTTTCATTCCGTTGGTTAAAAAGGCAATATTTTAGCATCTTATCATTCAAGCGCCTTGTCCGGTATAATCCGTAATACGGTATTTAGTGTGCTCCTCCAATCCTTTTTGGCTTGCAGCCACGGCTGCAAGCCATTTCATATAGAAAACTTGTTCCGGTAAGGTGGTTTCCTGCTTACATCTGTTGGTGCATAATTGAACGGGAAACCAGATGCAATTGTGCCAATCGCAACTTTTCGGCCTTTTCCGTCAGTTTTCGGATTAATGATAATAGCCGATGTAGTTCCGATTGCAACCGTAACAATTCGGGCGATTCCGTCATACTGCGGAAATCTAAGCTATTTTAGTTACTTCGGTAATCCCAGTTTGTGTATATAAATAGGATTTCTATTTTTACTTGATTTATCGGTTTAAACCGTAATAAATTATAAACGAAATTGTTCCGTTTCATTTGTTTTTCAAGACGCAAAAGTTAGTTTCTTTTATAATTGTTTTTTTTTGTCTGTATTAGTTTAATACAATAGAGAATGGTGACTGATTATTCCGTCTTCAAAGGGTTATCACGCATGATCGAGCTATATTTAGATCTACTGAACGCAATTCAACTTCTTGGTGAGGTAATCTAAAAATAGCCCATGCATATCATTAACCTTGCCACGATCATAGTTGATACATGCTTATTTAATATATTGGTACCACGTAACGAAGTATTTTAGTGCATTTACTTGTCTATAAAGCAAAGGAATGATTTCGCTGCGAAAATGGGGAAATGAGATGTGCACACTTGTTTTCCTTCAGTATCACGTTAATATTTTTACGATTGATCATTTTCTTTATTAGTTTTATACAATACTGTAGAGAATAAATCGTTTTGACAAAAAAATATTCGGTTTTCCAAAAAAAAAAACCACACAACTAAATAAACCCTTTTTGATAATAAATTGCCCCCCCCCCCCCCCAAAAAAAAAAGAACAATTTTAAAAGGTTGGGATGAAGGCTCAACTGTGCAAGCCTTTCCTTTTAAAAGGAAACTTTATTTTAGTTTAACTCATTGACAATCGCAACTACTCGGCCCTTTCCTTCAGTCTTCGGATAAGGTTTATTATACATAATAGCCGAGGCAGTTTAGAATGACTCACTGATGCCCAATGTGGTTCCCGTCATCAACGGTTAAGTTTTAGAACGATCGACTATAGAATTGCTCATTAGCACGTTATTTATTAGGTAGATAAAATAAGATAATTATAAAAGAATATGATATCCAAACATGACACTATCACTTAAGTTAAACGTTTATTTTAATCCTTTAAAGCTTTGTGACATGTTGTACATCAGAAAAGCTATTCTTTTCAAAAATTTGACAACAATTTGATTTTGCTAATAAAAACAAAAAAAAGCACAAAGTCAAGTCTAAAATTTCCCCATTGCTATACGGACAAACACATATCCCTTAGACGCGCCGTCTTATAAGGCATGTGATGAGGTTGGCAAATATTCAACTTGCCAACAAAATAATTTCTAAAATATGTATATTAATGCCAGACCTTGACTTGAACCCAGTGACCCTAACTTAAAGGACCACCTGTTTTCTTCTAAATACGAGACATTGGTAAAAACACACACAAAGGCTGTATAAGAAAAAAGTGTAAAATATTTGTTGTTAGCCCAAGTGACTTTGACCCCATGACTCCCAAAAATGTACCATTTGAGGTATGTTCCTTCCAAATATTTTAAGTTATCTTAAAATCCTTCATTGCATATTAAAGTTATGTACAGTCTAGACACGAATGTGTACTTTCAAACTTTCCTTGTGAGAACCTTCAAACCATATGTATGACCTTGACCTTGAAGAATTTAATTCATTTAGAGCAGTTTGACTCAGGGAATGCTTTGTTACACATAAATTCTAGGTTATTTAAAACCTTCCATGCATAATAAACTCTGAACACAAATGTATACCTTTAAACTTTAATTGTGAGAATGCGAACCTTCAAACTATAAGTAGTGACATGAGTTTTGATCGCGACACATCATCAAGACATGGTAGTAAATTGTGCCAAGAATTTCAAAATTCTTCCGTGTATAACACAGTTTCATTGAGAACCTCTAGTTGGTGAATGTTGTGTAGTTGGGACCTCAAGATTGATTTACAAACATACAGTGTGATTTTAATATCCCAACCATCGGGTGCATAAAAAATGAAATCACCTTAAAATTGAAAATAATGAACGGAAACTGAAATTTTCATATAATTTTCAAAGTGAAAGGGGCATAACTCTGCCAAAAGTCATCGAAGCATGACCAAATTCAAGCTTGACCATTAGCATCCCTTTGACGCGTCCATATGTGAAATTTGTGTTGAATTTGTAATTCTTTTGGGGATATAATGGGCGGAAGTTGAAAATTTCATCTAGGGGCATTACTCTGTTACAAATCAACGGCCTTTGACCAAATTTGACCTTGACCTGTTCATTCTCATGAAACATATAGATGTCAAATTTGAGTTGAATGTGTGCAACCGTTACTAAGATAATAACTGGAAACTGATTATCACTGAATGACAGAATGACGAAGGAAGGAATGACGGAAGGACGTAACAGGGTAACACTTATATGCCCCAGCCACTATATGGCGGAGGCATCAAAATTGTAGTGAAGCCAAAAAGGGCCATCAATTTACATACCACGGTATAAGAGTGCTCTCCGTTTTAGCTCCCATTCAAAACATGGCTGACATAGATAAAACATAGATGATTCTAATTTAAATCATAGAGTGATTCTAGGTATATGACATTTTAAAGTCAATTTGCGACAGTTAAACACAATTTAATAAAATAGTAAATACAAGTATTTTTCATTTGTACAATTTGCTGGAAATAATAAGAACAATGGTATCATAGGGGACCATCCTATCAGACACATTTATATTTGTCCATGTAAACCTGTGCATTGTTCCTACTTAGGATACTCTTGTGTGCCACTTTGACAATAGAATTTTGACTTACAGTTAAGTTAAACTAAATAGACTTGTAAAAGATATATCATTAGTTTGTGTGAATAGACCATCAACCAATTCCATTGTCTTTTAACGAAAGATGAACAATAATTTGTTGGCAATAGAACACCTGAGTAATGTATGTTTATTTATTAAGCATATTGGTATTAGGAACCATCTAGGAACCAATATTATCCTCAAAATGATAAGGTGTTTTCATCATCTTTTTCATGATTCATATTGGTTTATTTTACAAAAAATATATATATTATGTCCTATAGCTGAATTATTTCATATAACAAAAACAGTTCTTTTTTTCAGAAATTCCATAAATTAAAACACATAAAGGAAATTTGTATTTGGCATTTTCAGCAACAGGCAACAATGTCACTTGCTATAAAAACAAGAGCTGTCACAGGAGACAGCGAAGCTCGACTATAAAATACTGTATGAAGTAAGGAAGACAAAACTATGAAAGAAAATCAATTATGTATAATTATGTATTAAGTTATAGTAAAACAATGACGTGTTTGTTAAACACAAATGCCCCCGGCTCAGATTCTTGTCAGTAGCAATATTTAAAAAAAAATATGTTTGCCCATTCACTCAGTTATGGACAGAAAAAATGCAAAAAATGTAAACACAAGTTATATAGCTTGACAAAGTAATGACATTTTGTAATTGTGAAAAATATATTCTGCCAAGTCATTGCTCTGACTTGTGAAGTTGAAAAATATTTAACTTCATGCAAGTTATCTTCCTACAAAATATGAAATAGATATGTCATTAAATAAAAGCTGTATGGGCAAAAGTGTAAAATCGATTTTGAGCACTGATGTCCTTGTCCAAACTGACCCCTAACTCTATTCAAAGGAAGATTACCATCTTCTTACCAAATATGAAATACATCTATCAATAAATAAAGGTTGTATGGGCAAAAGTTTAAAAATCAAGTTTTAGCACTGGTGACTTTGACCCAACTGACCCCTTACTCCATCCAAAGGAAGAATACCATGCAAGTTATCTTCCTACTAAATATGAAATACATCTGTCAATAAATAAAAGCTGTATGGGCAAAAGTGTAAAAATCTATTTTTAGCACAATTGATCTTGACCCACTGATCCCTACCCCAATCAAAGGTATGAATACCATGCAAGTTATCTTCCTACCAAATATAAAATATATTTGTCACTTAATAAAAGTTGTATGAGCAAATGTGTAAACATCTATTTTAAGCACTGGTGACCTTGACCCAACTGACCACTAACTCCATCAAATTTTATGTTTCTATCAATTACATGTATAAATAACATCTGTCTATAGAATACGGTTAATACACCTGTAAAATGTAAAAATCTATTTTTAACATTGGTGACCTTGACATTGGTAACATTGACCTTGACCCAAATGACTACTTACTACACCCAAAGAAAGAGGACCTCCCTTGGCATGTTTGTATTAAACTAAGACATCAACTAAACAAGAGCAACCACCGGGCGGAGGCAACGCTCGACTTTTTACTTTCTCTAAAAGCAAACAAAGAAATATTTGAACAAAATATTAACGTTTACTTTTTATAAAATTAATCAGTCTGTCTTGTCATATTAGTTTTGTAGTATATATTTAATATATCTTAATTTACTAATTTATATATATATATATATATATATATATATATATATATATATATATATATATATATATATATATATATATATATATATATATATATATATATAAATAAATAGAGACACGCAATTCGAAGTCACATGGTGGTGTCACATGGTGAAGTCACGTAGTAATGTCACGTGGTGGAGTCACGTGGTGGTGTAATGTGGAAATCACGTGGTAGTTACGTGATGGTGTCACGTGGTGGAGTCTCGTGGTAGTGTCACGTGCTGGAGTCACGTGATGGTGTCACGTGGTGGAGTCACGTTGTGGAGTCGCGTGGTGGAGACACGTGGCGGAGGCACGTAATGGAGTCACGTAGAAGTCACGTGGTGGAGTAACTAGGAAGTTATGTGGTAGAGTCACGTGGTGGTGTCACGTGGTGAAGTCACGTGGTGGAGTCACGTGGTGAAGTCGCGGTAAACAACAAGATGTTGTTTTAAGTGTGTTCTGTTATAATATGAAGTTGATCCCTTCAATAATAGCAAAGTAACAGCCAGTTACAGCCAAAACAATGTCGAGGTCATTAATGAGTGAACGTCAAGGTCTGTCGGGTTATCCTTAAGGGTTATCATTGAAGATTATTATGTTCAAGTTTGAAGACAATCCATTCAAAACTAACAAAGTTTCAGCCAATTATAGCCAAAAACATGAAAATTTCAATAATTTGACCTTCAAAGTCAAGGTCACTTATGAGTGAAGGTAAAAGTTTGTCGGGTTATTTGGTTATTTTTAAGGGTTATCCTTGAAGATTATTATGTTTAAGTTTGAAGACAATCCATTCAAAAATAACAAAGTTACAGCCAATTATAGCGAAAAACATGAACATTCAATAATTTGACCTTCAAAGTCAAGGTCATTTATGAGTGAAGGTCAAGGTCTGTCGAGTAATTTTAAGGGTTATCCTTGAAGATTATTATGTTCAAATTTGAAGACAATCCATTCAAAAATAACAAAGTTACAGCCAATATGAGCCAAAAACATGAAAATTTCAATAATTTGACCTTCAAAGTTAAGGTCATTTATGAGTGAAGGCCAAGGTCTGTCACGTTATTTTTAAGTGATATCTTTGAAGATTATTATGTTCAAGTTGAAGACAATCCATGCAAAAATAACAAAGTTACTGCCAAAAACAGGATGAACAAGCAAAATTTGGACATTTTACCTTGAAGGTCAAGGTCATTTATGGATGAAGGTCAAGATTAGTGTGGTCTACTTAAAGGACTTGTCCCAAGGGTTGTTGTGGCCGAGTATGAAAATAACACACCAAGAAATAAAAAAGTTATGATTCAGGTACACGTTTGTGGACGGCAATTGCAACGGCAACGCCTCCGCGACTATAACAATAACTCTACTTTTTTTCGAAAAATAAATCGAGCTAAAAACAAAGGCTGTATGAACAAAAAGTGTGCATTTATTTTCTCAATCAGTGACCTTGACCTTGACCCTAGAGACCGCTTACTTCACAAAAAATTAAAGGACCATCAAAGGTATCCACCTACTAAATATGAAAGATATTATTAAAGAAATTAAGCAATAGGGAGAAATTTAAGATAAATCCAACTTGCCGAAATAAGTTAACCAGACAAGGCCCTATTTTCAAAGTAAAAAAAGGGAAATAACTGGGAATATGGATGACACAGTTAAATAACTTGGCAATATCATGTACTTTGTATTAATAAATAAGTCTGGAAATTATAAAGCCATTAGTACAGATAGAACGGAAGATATTTCCAACTTGCCGTTTCAGGTTAACCATTATTCATTTTCTAAGTGCTGAAAAGGGCAATAACTTAGTAAATATGAAAGCCAGAATTATGTGACTTGCCCAGATCATGTACTTTGTATTGATTAGTAAGTGTGTAAACTAAGAAGCCATTGGTACATGTAGAACTTAAGAAAAATCCAACGTTGCCGTTCTAGGTTAACCTTGTACGGACAGACGGACGGACGGTTCAATTACTAAATGCCCGGGGCATAAAAATATCATTTGTTAACATAAATTCCAAAGTTGTTCGTTCGTCCGTCCTTCCTTCAGTCCGTTCTCTTTTGTGACGCATGTAACTCAAAAGGTTTAAAACCTAGAGTCATGAAACTTAACAGGAATGTTGATCAGCATTTGCAGTTGTGCACCTGGGTAGTTTCGTGTTGATTTATTCAGTATTTTTAGAGTTATTGCCCTTGACTTAGTAAAGATTTGCAATTTTAAACTTCTGTCACATGTAACTCAAAAAAAGATTTGACCTAGAGTCATGAAACTTTACAGGAATGTTGATCAGCATATGCAGTTGTGCACCTGGGTATTTTCCTGTTGATGTTTTCAGTATTTTTAGTGTTATTTCCATTTACTAAGTAAAAGTTTGCAATTTTCAACTTGTATCGCACGTAACTCAAAAAGTATTCGACCTAGAGTCAAGAAACTTTATAGGAAGTTAATCAGCATGTATAGTTGTGAACCTTAATTGGTATTTGCGTGTGGATTTATTAGGTTTTTTAGAGTTATTTTCCCTCGAGTAAGTAAATATTTGCAATTTTCAACTTGTGTCGCACGTAACTCAAAAAGTATTTGACCTAAAGTCATGAAACTTTACATGAATATTGATCAGCATGTGTAGTTGTGCACTGTATATTTTCGTGTGAAGTTATTTAGTAATTGTAGAGTTATTGCCCTTGACTTAGTTAAAATTTCCAATTTCAAACTTGTGTCGCATGTAACTCAAAAAGGATTTGACCTAGAGTCATGAAACTTTACAGGAATGCAGGAATGTTGATTAGCATGTGTAGTTATGCACCTGGGTATTTTTATGTGGATTTTTATAGTATTTTTAGAGTTATTGCCTTTGACTTAATAAAATTTTGCAATTTTCAACTTGTGCCGCATGTAACTCAAAAAGGATTTGATACAGAGTCATTAAACCTTACGGCAAGTTTCTCAGCATATGTAGTTGTGCACCTGGGGTTTTGCTTGTGGATTTACCAGTATTTGTTGAATTATTTCCCTTGATTTAGTAAAACCGTTTCATTATGTTGTTATTTGTTCCTTGAGTGCTTGAGTTAGAATCAACCAACTTTACACGGATAATGATCAACATCACCAAATTACAGGAATAATGATCAACATCACTGTGAAGCTATGCACCGGGGACTTTGCATGTGGATTTTTTTTCAGTTTTGTTAGAGTTATTGCCCTTGACTAACAGTATTTTAAATTTGCAAATTTCAACTTGTTTATGCATAGCTCAAAAAGAATTAGACTTTTAGACTTGAAAGTTTACAAAAATGATGGTCAGCATGTGTACTTCTGCACCTTGGAGCTTGCTTGTGGATTTATTCAGTATTTGTACAGTCCTTGTCCTTAAATAAGTAAAAGATTTTTAGTATTCAACTTGTGGCACATGTAGTCCAAAAATTATTTGACCTAGAGTCATACGATTGACAGAACAGTGGCGTGTGGGGGCACCCATGTCCTATGGACACATTTCTAGTTTCTTAAGTTTTTGTAGTATATAAAGTAATCTATGAAAAGAATCAAACCTGATTGATTTTGTGCTGGACATTTGAAAGCAGCGTTAACAGACACTAAAACAGCAATCACGCACAGGGGTAGACTCACATGCAAAAACAACATGTTTGTCAGCTAGGTGTCAAAATCTGAAAAAATGAAGAAAAATCAAGTTTAATTATTTTAATAAATAAATTAATTATGAATATATACTGCCATTGGTTTGAAGACATGGTATGACCATCTTAATGGACACTTTAAGGAAATGGAAAACTAACAGTATATGTATGCCTTCAATAAAGTAAGAGACAAAGGAATAGATAAAAAACAACTTAAAACATTGCCAAGAAGACAAAATGTAGAACATAAATGTTTGTAGAACATTTGTCAAAACTAGACGGTAAAAGTATTTCATATTTTACACGATAAACCAATATAAAATTTTAGGGAAACTTTGAAAACAGGCACTCATTTAGGTAAATTAAGGATTTTTAAATTAGGCTCCCTATGTTGGAAAATGGTCAAACATGTGGTAAAAATGAGTGGGGTAGGATAACATTTTTATACATATTTCATAAATTTTAAGAAGAAACTATAATTTTGCTTATGTGGATTGTTAGCTGAATGGTACTATTTGTTTCTTACCAAAAATTAATCGCAAAGCATTTTTCATTAGAATGTTATTGCAGATTATTTAAAGGTTCCTCAATCCTTAAAAAAGGCTCTCATACATGTCATAACACCCTAGCTTGAGTTCAGAAAAGTGGCCATAACTTGATTTCCGTACGGTAAACTTTGTTTAAACTCTGCATACAGGTGTACTTTAAGGTATATATCTGACCTATGATGTCATTTTCTAGTTCCCTACAGTGTCAATTGGGGTCGTAATACCTTGAATATCCAAACAGAAATATTTTTAGTAATTACATTAAGGCAATCTGAATTAATCCATGAACAATTTTCATTGGGTAATAGATTTCCCATTATTCTTTCATAATTATTGTCCTGCGCCCACAGTCTAAATTTCGCCCTTTAGAGGCGATAATTATCGCGTGTTTAAATTTCGCTAGTCTCTTATGCGAAAATGTGTATTCTTAATTATAATTAGTCCTAACTTATTTGATAGTATCACCAGTCAGTCAATGGAGTGTTACTTCATAGAAATTGGCCTTTATTTCTTACTACAAATATACGAACTTTATAACCTACCTGTAGTAATCATTCAATTCAGAGACTTTTACAGCATAAGAATAGAGCTGTTGAAATTTAAAAAATTCTTGCACTGAATCAATGATAGCTCTGCCGAGAAAAACTTACATCTTCCTAATATTCACGCTTTTCACATATTTATAAGTTCTTTATCATTCCTGCAGCATATATAACTGTCAATTTTATTAAGTCAAACACATCAGAATACTATTATAGAAAATAGACTTAATCTTATTTTAAACATATCATGCTAGCAATATGAGTATTTAATAGTTTTAGAAAAACTAGAAGTTATGAAAATTGAAAAGAAAATTCTATCAATATTATTTAAATAATGAGACTTAACTTCATAAAAGACATTTTACCAAATCACCAAACCCCTTCTTGCAATAGGTCTTAAATAATATGTGGGATGATGAAATTAAAAACAAGGACAACATTGTTGCAAAATACGTTCAACACTGTAAACTAGCTTTTGTCAGAGATGTGAGCATTAGAGATATGCATATAGGTGGAATGCTCTGGGCAAAATCCGGAAAATATCTGAATATTTTATTATCTCTAGTGACCTTGACTTTGCAACTATTAACCTATATTACATGAGTCACACTTTTAGTCATGATAATTATCATTTGTGTTACAATCCATCAATAAATGATGACTAAATGGTCCCTGTACACAAACTTTGACCTCTCTATGTGACCTTTACTTTTGTAGCAGGGACCTTTATTATGTGCCCAATAGGAACTACAAATGAATTTTGCATGCAACACTTGGCCTTACCATGGTGAACATTTGTGCCAAGTTATATTGAAATCGCTCTATGCATGAAAAGGTTTTGTTCCAAACTAGCGTTTTTCAATGACCTCTTAGTGTGACCTACACCTCTGACCAAGAGGCATGGTTCATGCGCATGACACTGCTTCTCATAATGGTCAACATTTGTATGATGTTTCATTAGAAGCCCTCTATAGATGTGTGTATGCGATGTGCTCTGGACAAAATCATTTGTGTTTCAATCACTCAATAAATGATGACTTAATGGTTCAAATACTCATTTTCATATTTTTATTTGAACTTCGACCCTATGTGTAATCTTGACCTTGGTTGCAGATACTTAAATTATGTCAGCGACACTCAGTCTTGCAATGGTTAACATTTGTGCTAAGTAATATTGAAATCACTTTATACGTATAGTAGTTTAGCTCTGGACAAGCTTTTTTCAATGACCTCTTAGTGTGACCTTTGACCTAGAAACCTGGTTCACGTGCACGACACAGCTTCTCATAGTGGTGAACAGTTCTATGAAGTTTAATTAAATACCCTCAATGCATGTAGGAGATATGATCTGGACAAGAATTGGAGCCCCCCCCCCCCCCCTCGCCAGGGCGGAACACAGTTTCAGAAATTCTTAAAATGTTGACAAATGCACTTGCCAGATTTCATGTTATCACTGATTTAGATTTTAAGTGTACAACAACATTCAAAGCTTTCTCTCCATGTAATACAAGTAACAATGGTTTCCTGTGGGGAAAATGTTTTATAATTTAAAGATACGTCATTTAACTCTTAAAAAAACATTTGTATCAAGAATATAGTTTGATAAAAATCGATCAATAGCAAAAGGTTTCGGGAGACCGTCGACTGTCGGAGATGGCGATTAGTAGGTCGATTGTCTGTATCATTCACAAATGGTGTGTAGCTATCTGTGTGTTTTTGGTACTTTTTGGATTTAAGTGCGATAAAACAATTAATTCTTCTTTTAGAAAATGATAAACTGTATTGTATTGTATGAATAATTCCATGCAAAAAATAATAATGAAATAAAATAAAGTAAACACACAAGTGTACGAGGAATATATATCTATTATTTGGCAGATGTCACTACGAATGTTTTAATATTTTACATTTTCATAATATAAACATTTTTTTGTGTGTAAAATTTGAGATATTTGAGATCGATATTAAAGGAACACTGATAATTTTCAAACACATCTATTTCATCCACCTTAAACAGTAAAATAATGACAGAAAACAAGAAATATTACTTATAGTAATATGTACTTATAATTAGGTTTAATTTCCGAGAGTTAAATCTGTAACGTACCGGAACGCGGTGTTAAGCTAGATTTTCGAAAAGGTCAATAAACATGCAATCATTTTTGGTTTACAGATTACGTGCTCCTCCATGTACTAAAAAGAGGTCGCGTGCTCCTCGATGCCTCAAAACATTAATCGCGTACCAACATCCTGCGGGCTTCAGCCCACAGAGAATAAAACCCCATGATAAATTCAGATTTTTTATCATCACAGCAGCAACCTGTCATTACTGACGCCAGTTATTCCCTGTGGTAATTATGATACTATTTGCCAGCCTCTAGAATTATCCTGTCTTAAGAGATATCAAACGAGGAGACAGCCTCATCCAAGTACAGAATTACGCACACATAAAATAACTGAAAAAGGAATGGTCAGCTGTGCACTGCATACTTTCAGAATGAATGACGTCACATTGTATTATTATTTGGCACCCTTTTCATTTAGTACTAGGTTAAAATGTCTTTTTAAACGTTTCTTTGCATATAATAAAAAGAAAATTTGTTTAGTTTAATGTAAGATTGAAATATATTTCACCTCGTGAACACCAAATACTTTTTGGTGCTCACTCCGTGAAATTTATTCCAATCTTAAACTAAACAAATATCCTCAATATCTTTTGGTCTCTTGAACTATCTAGATATATGTTAATGTTTTTAAAGGTGTAACAAACAATTTAAGGCACTTTAATCCTCATTATCAATTTATGAAACAAATTATCAAGAAAGTAAATTACATTATTAAAAGTTGTGACCGTCTAAAACGGGCAGTAATGTCCGATCTTTGCATTGTGTGCAATAATGTTGTGCATGGGAGACAACATGCAGTAACTTCATGTTATATTTGTGATAGGTGGCAGCACCGAAAATGTGATACTGTCAGCTAGGTCATTTCATATAAATCATTATATTAAATGTAAAATAAGGCATTTCTCCAAAATTATTAAATTGCACATATAATTATAAACTGATTTAATGATTAATTAACCCAATTATACAATCAACCATGTAATTCTTGAAAAAAAATTGAAACAATTTTTACATGTGTTAAAAATCTGTTACTTTTACCGGGCATTTGTTTTATTTTAAGCAAGCTCCGTAACTGTTCTGTATGTGTATTTTTTGTATCCTTCAAACTCGTCACAGTTAAATACTAGTTAAATATATTGATGAACCAAAGCTTGATTCTTTGATATATTCGTTCTGGGACAGAATCTCGCTTTTAGAGGCCAGATATTGTCCAGACACAAAAATAGCACAATATCTTGTTGCGCAGTACAATTAGCTGGACTATGTTAAATGCATGTGGTTGTTAATTGATAATTATCTTATGTCTGTTTCATGTATTATTTTGTGTCTTGCTCCTTAATTAATCGTCAAATAAAATATAAATAATTTTTTATTTTGATTAGTTATTAATAAGTGTTTCGTTTGTTTATTTTTTTAATACTCAGTAAAGTTTATGTTCTTTTTGTACTGATTATTGTCCCCATTCTATTTCAAACTATTTTAGCCTCATTCTTGTATTAAAATCATGATTTAATTAAAAACTCAATTGATTCATTTATTAATTGAACTGATATTAATATTCCGGTTGGACTTATTTTGAATGGGGCCGATTTGGCGAAGGGCCGAAACGTCTGGGGACGAAACGTCTTGGGGTAATTAGAGACCGAAAAATCCATGGAAAATCCTAAATGTCCTGTTAAGTAGGGTAGTAAATATACTCACAAATATTGCCTGATATAACAATCCCAATTGTTATGGTAAACTTAAAACAAGTTTCGATAAGACTTGTTTTTATTATACTCAACATCACTAATTCTGCATCATCACTTATTTCA